TACAGTATATATTTGATACAATTGAATTCCCTTTCAAAACTCCGTCCCACACCCAGGGCCTTTTCTAGGCCTTTAGGGGCCAAGACTTGGAGCCAACCATAAGATGGTAGCAAGCTAAGCGTAGTTTATTTTTGCATTTATTTAATAAACAATTGTTTTCCTGGAGGGAGCCTGGCCAGCTTTGGGCACTTTCATGCCCTGCAGGGGCCCCTGGTGATTAGTTGAACGACTTAAACACACACACAGTCCCCCAGGCATCCCCGGAGGATTGTGTGTGTAAACTGAACCCTGATGACAATTATTTACACAGAGTTGTGATTGTTTATCCCAGAAGCAGCAGGATGTAGAACATCTGCTGCCTCCACAGCTGAAATAAAGGTATTTCATATCACCGCAGCATAAGATTAACAAAACAGTTTTGATGTTTCTCATCGTTCACTGTAAAGTTTAAAATACTGACGTTGTTTTAGGACATTTGGACTAGCTGTTAGCTCATCAGTCCTTTTAGGTGTAATCTTTATTTCATTAAACAGAGGCTGTTCAGGAACCTTTATAATAAGCAAATTAGTTTTTATAACTTTCGCAGCGAGGAACACTTTAAAGTGACCTGCCCATCGATGTTACCTGTGCTGGCTCTAAGTGGAGGGATTATTGAGCTGGGTCAGCAGAACCAGAACTGCCCATCTTGGTTCTGCTGCAGGATTCTTCATGGGACACAAGAGTTTTCCTTTCCACTCGCTCCAGATGAGGAGTTACATTGAGGTGAAACATACACCTTTGTTCTCCATCTAAAAAGGACACACGGATGTAAAAACAAACTGTGAGACATATTCCAGGCTTTCTGTGACATCATCAACCTAGCACAGATGTTCTCCCTTACACGTTCGCACATTTACACACTCAACCTAAACACACACACACACACACACACACACACACACACACACACACACACACACACACAAGAGGCATGGTAACAGTGATGCAGTGGACAGCAGTGTTACGTAAAGCCAGAAGCGGTTGCATGTGTTGCTGATGCAAGCGAGAAGATGAGGAAGGGTCCGAGCATGATGCATGACATCATCTGATCTGAGGTCAGTGGGTGGAACATGCTGTTACAGTTTGGGTTTTCTGTCTGCTTTCCTTTTCAAGAGAACAAGCGGTCCTGCGGGTGAAACGACCAGCAGTCACCAACGTGTGATGGGTTACAGCTGGAGTGGTTCTCAGAAGCTGGTGTACAAACAGGACATCTGATCACTGCAGCTGGTTTTGAACCACCTCTTATATATTTATGATCCGTGAGCTGGACTTAAAAGGCACATTTATCGTCTGGATTTAGGAAGGGTTGTTTCACTTTTTGCTTTTTTTGTTTCAGATCAGCAAACTAATTTCCTTCATTGGTCTTCTGACCCACCGAGGCCTGAGAAGGGACACGTGGACTCTGAGTCTCCATCAGTCACAGAGTGGGAGATGACGGACACCTTGGACAGGCAGGTAGTCCATCTGATCATCCTGAGTCTTTGGGGAAATTAATTTAAGAGACTGAATGAGCCCAGGTGTGTGTCCCATCCCATCTGGAGTCAAACTGACACTCTCACCACAGAAACATTCAGACACGGTGGTGGTAGTGGTATGGACTGGGGCTGCTTGGCTGCTTCAGGACCTGGAGGATCACCTGCTTTAACTCATGGAACCATGAACTCTGCTCTCATCCTGGAGAACATCTGACCTTTAACCTTAAACAGTCTGTTCGTGATGAGAACCCATGCGGTGTGGCTGAATGAGAACTACTCCAGAAAGAAGAGAACTCCTCCACAGTGGTGAGAGACTCATTAACAGTTACAACAACAAAAACTGTTAAAAATAGTCAATAAATACAGACAAAAACAACCTAAAAGCAATATAAAAGAAAGGAAACAACAACCAACAGGAGCCAAATAAAAAGAAGTCATTGTCCAAAAGCCAAAGCATAGAAGAGGTTCTTCAATCATGACGAAGACAGCGACAGATGATGACTGTCGACTTGAAGCACAACAGAGTGACATCAGGCTGGTGAAAGCCCTGCAGACTCACGGAGGTAGGTGTAATCTCGGAGTCTGCTCCGAGGCGCAGACTTCCTGTCTCTGCTCTGCCCTCGTGTCCACATGCCCGTAAACCAGCCCTTATCTCTGCCCAAAACAAAACTCACTGATTCACATCCACATGGGGGAAGAGCTCAAAACAGAGGCTGACATCATCACCGCTTCCTGTTTCTTCTAGTTGCCATAGTGATTCCAATCTGCATACGCTGAGCGATTGGTGGATGATGAGTCAGAGGGGTTTGGTCCAAGTTTGCAGCTCTAGCACAAAAAAAAACTCAGATCCACAACTTCAGCTCCAGCCCCGGAAAACCTGACCAAACATGGAGGACAGATTATCCACTGGCTCCGCTCAGGAGAATTGCCACAACCTCTTCTGTGGTTTGATTCGCTGGGAATCATTTGGGTCTTCATATTAGTTCCAGTTGGCTTGTGAAAAACGAGTCCAAACACAGAAGCAAAATATGGATAATAAAGTAATTTAGAAGCAATTTTACATTTTCAGTGGGTTTAAGTTTGCAAGAGTTGTTGATGGTGGCAGTATCTCACAATGTTTATGGTATTTTTTACATCTGTAAAGGGAATAATAATGAGGGTCCCTTTGTTAACAAGTGTTAACAACAGATTTTATGCATTGCATAACTAAACATATTATTTAATGCATTTTAACTAATGTCTATTACTGAACCTTAGTT